CGCTCACAGCAAGATCTCTGTGGCTCATTGCATGTGCTATTGTGTCTTGAGGCAAATCTAAGACAAGGAAATATGACCAGAATATCTTATTTCTGCATAATTGTGGCTACCAATAGAATAAGCTAGTGTTAAAGTCATCTCATGTGGAGTTTTGTTGTATTTTCTAAATTCTAAGTGGTAGACAAACTATCTTTGCCTGATTTCATTAGCAGCTATCAGAGAATACCTATGCCAAAAATCACCAGTGTGGAGCAGCTGGGAGTCTCAACTCTCTAGACTAACCCCAAATACCAATGTTTTCTTATGCGTGAAAAATCCCCCGAAAAAAATACACACTGTATCTCAGATTTACTCAAAATTAATGTACCGGTATTACCCTCTTAAACCATCGCTACAATTGTTTTTCCTAGTTGAATGCATGCTTTATATATTCTTATAAGAGAATGTGGATAAAAAAATTAATTTGATATTTTCAAAGAAAAAAACCTCTACTACATTCTTAATGTCTGTGGCTATTGTCTCATTTCAGGTAGTTGATAAATTAGATTTATATGGTATAGAATTTATGTGGCAGATTGCTTTGGAGACGCCCAATGAGGAAATCGCACACATTGCTGTCAAACATTTACTCCATATGTGTTACAGTAACTTATCACCAAGACTTAAAAAGGTATGGTGTACTTTTTTTATTATTCACTTTGTGTTGTAAGGAAATGCGGCCGTCATATCCTGTAACGTTTCCAGCAGTTTCTGTCATCTCTCGTTTATTTGTAATTATTCCATGACTTACTGCAGTGTCATTGCTGTCAAGTTTATTTTGAGATCGCCGTGGTGGTGCTACGCCAAATTGCCGCGTCTCTACTCTACTCGAAGTCATGTAAATTGTTCCACATTGTTAAAGTCTTGAATAATAATGTGTATTGTTCAATGTGGTTATGGTACTCACTATATTTGCATATTACTAAATTACAGGACCCCGTCAGCTTGCACAAAAAGTTCATCACAGAATGTTACAAACGATTGGAAGAAGCTATGATCACGTTGGGTGGGTCGGCACTGGCCATCGCCATCAGTAGAGCCACAAAAACACTGACGGCCGCAACTATACCGGAAGTAGCAGCGTTACCTAGTCCATCAAGGTTGGTAATGGTTGAGGAGAATGTGAAGCAGAGAGGAGGAGAAATGTAAAACATTCTGTTTTTTAAAGACTTCTCGCGTTCAGTAAAAAAAGTGAATGATTATTGACATGTCATGTTTAATCCAAGGGTGTACCTGTATATGATTGGACTTCACACTCCTGCAGCCAAGTTTGTTTTTAATATATGTGTAATTAATAGTTTAGATAACTGATTGCATTTGATCATGAATTAATCATAGTGAAGGTCAAGGTTTGGTTAAAAGAGGTTCAACTGCGTTTTAGTTACTCCATCCATATATAATTATTAAAAACCATTTCATTTTCACAATTTCACCACTTTCCGGCTGATTACAGTGAAATCGCAGTGACTCGCTTGTATTTTTGATGCTATGAAATTCTGCACAAAAAAAGAGCGATACTTCACTATCTCCATGTAACATCGCTTTCTTGTTTAGATCTGCCAAGCTGTTGATAATTGAGCGGCTATTGCTGCTAGCTGAGAAGTATGTCACCACGGTCGAAGACTACCACTCTGGGTCTCGTACTATTCTACCACACGGTGCTTCTTTTCAAGGACAGCCATTAGTTATTCACCTTAACTGTGAGACCCCTAAAGGTGATTTCACTATCATGGTAAGTTTGTTGATGATCGCAATAGAGACAAAGCATACATTGCAAAGTTCTACACTTTTGAGGGATGTTATAGTTGGAATAAAATCAGCTGTCGGGGTGAAAATAAGGTGTATTACTATACATTTGGCAACAAAGTTGTTGGAGACCTTGTGCTTTATTTTTGTTGTTGTTATTTCTGTTTTTAGGGTCACTCTAATGAAACATTACAGAGTGTCCGTCTCAAGATAGCTGATCATTTGAAGACAACGCCGGAAAATGTCCAAATTGCAATTAATGATAAAATTGTAAGTTACTTTAATTTTTAAAGCGTTAGTATATTTTTTGGACTAACTGTAGAACACGTCTGTTTAGTTGGCATGCAATTTAACTACAAATACTGTAATCATTCTTTATATGTGGTTTAGGAATTGAGTCAAATGGCTGAAATTTTATTAATTCATTTAAGCATTGAAACATATATTGGTACCGGGGGTAAAGGCATTGCTCATCTAAATTATCACAGGTTTCAGTAATTTGCCTGTTTGTGATTGAACTGAGAGAATTTAGTATTTTATTTGAAGCAATTTATTATAAGTTATTTCACTTAGCAATTTATAAAAATAAAAACAGAAACCAGTCCTTAGTTCATCAAAGGCTTTTGTTGTTGACCATTTTCAATAAAAGTGCCAGTCAAAAGTTCGTTCATTGCATCTTTGAAGTGTCACTCATTTGGAAATTATGTGAAAAAAGTGATGGTCGAAATTCACTGTGTAATTCATGAATACATGAGTTCCAAAAATATGGCTTCATTCATACCATTCTACCCCTGTATATTATTGACGTAATAGTGCCATGACCCCATGACTATTCTCACATTGTTGTCTTGTTTCAGTTTTTACCATCCAAGGATCAGAAACTTTTACACCAATTGGAATTTGACGATGAGCAAATTTTGATCGTGAAGTCAGCAGGCGCTGTAACCCAAGCAAATCAAGCTAGAGTTGAGGAGGTAAGCCAAAACAAACAAACATAGTACATGTACCATTTGATTCTAAGCTACTTACTCTCTAGGGGTATATGTACATTTTAAATTGGAGGTTCGAACTTGATATTGACGAAGTCTGCTGAATTCACAAGAATCCCAAATCATCATACAGTCACATCAAAATGTGTTGTACATGTGTTGTTATGGCCATACTACACCTCATACTATGATACCATATTTTGCAGTATTCTTAAGATGTTCTATTACTATTATACATCCAACACCGTAACGCCATAAGTTACAGCGTGCCGTAATTTTGTGCTATTTTACATGGCTGCCACCAGGGTTTGACCGGACTCCACACAAAACAGTTTGCTGATTCTGTTCTAAACTTTTTAGATTTAGGCATTCCCATGATGTATCCTTAGAAGTAAAAGATGTATAATAATAAGGTTATTACGAGAATACCTCAAAGTATGCACTCAGACAGTACGCCGTTGCATTGACCTCCGTTGTGCGATACTCCCGCTGTACTGTCTTCATGTATACTTTGCGATGTCCTCGTAATATCTTCATATTATTATATACTAGAATGATATATTGCCGTTGTTATTTTTCAGATTCAAGAAGTTATGAGGATAGAAGAAGCTGGCAATTTGGAACAAAGCAGGAGACAGGCTTATGTGCTGGAGCAGGAAAAGATGCTCCCGGGTGTTGTCATGGCAATGGGTGGCCACGTTTTTGAAATGCTGTATCAACTAGCAGAACTAGATGAACCAAAGTAAGAAAACAGTATTTTTATATCCTGCATTTTCCAGTAAAAAAGTAATATCAAATTCTCATTTCTAAAAATCTCTAATTTCTTGTCTGTTTTATGACATGTTATCATTTGAAGTGTCTTATTCCACTGCTGGTGGATATTGTGCAACTTACCTGTGATGAAAATCTTTGGTCAGTTTGTTTTTCTGCAAAAGCATCTCATGATATTTAAAAAAAGAAATCGAACAACGAAAACAGAATACGCTAAAAAGCTAACCAGTATCTAACTATTATCTGGTAATGAACACATACATACGACCGTCATTACCCTCATTATTGTTTATTCGCCGTAATTTCAATTCTTTCTAACAGAATTAGAAGTCGCGTACGCAGTTTGTTAATGCTGATACCAACTGACCCAGCAGTTCACGAAGCATTAGAATCTATTGGTAGGCATGTGAGTAGAAAATATTTATTTGACCAAATTACATATGTTTATGCATGATAATAAGCATGTGTGCATATTAATTGAAATTGATGACACATAAATTTGAACATAGTCAACATGCAGCGCAGGTTCATAACACTTTGCATACATGACTGTGTTAACAATTTGATTGATTGTCTTCTTCTCAGATTGATGACAATTTGTCAACCTCAGATGATAGCAACTCAAGTTCAAAAGATACGTCGCCGAAAGCTGTCTTAGAAAACCTCTTCAATCCTAGTGCACCTGGAATGTCTGCATTCCGAGTTCTCTATAATCTTGAGGTAGGATGATTGACCACAATATATCAGGAAGTTTTTTTATTCTATATTCTTGCATAAAAATAAAGGCATGTTATAATTTATATCTTTCAGCATGTTGACGGTTGATGTTTTCATCATTATAAATTTAATAACTTTTGTTTCAGTGCATGACCATTAAAGCCCCATTAAGTTCACCTGCCACAAAAAACCCACATATTTTTGTTAACACATGTGCCCAACAATCCATGCTTGGTCCAAAATTAATAAAAAGAAGTACAGAAAATAACATAAATTTGGCAGTTGAGGGTTACATGTAATAGATTATTGTTGTCATTGCACAATGCACGTTAGAATCTCATATGTAAGCAAGCAGTATTGTTTACATCTCATAGGACCATATTGAACATGTCGCCGCAACCATCTCTCTTTAATGGGAACATCCTTTGTTGGTTTATATCAAGAGATTAAGAACTATAAATATACTGTTGAGGGTATTCCATGTGATACACCCATATATGTTTATCCTTATGATATATTGTTCGCCGTCTTTTCCAATTGCTTTTTTAAAGCTTTTTTTCACATTTTAGTATTTTGCTATTAAAATTTTTCGTTTATTTCAATTAAGTGGACATAATTACCAATTCATTAGAGGTCTTGAATCAAAATTCTCTAGGGAATCAGGAAACAATTTTGTTATGAAATGGGACAACAGTTTTACTTAATAAAAAGGGTTACATAATAACTATTGTTCATTTCTCCTTAGGTATTGAGTGGCAAACTGATGCCCACAGTGCAAGACATGACATCTACGACATCAAAACTGTTTTGTGATAATTTTCTCAATGCCTCGGGACTCAGCTTTGTTGTTAATGTGCTGCAAAAAGACTCTGTGCCAAGTGACGTTGATTACGTAACCCGACAGGGCTGCTACTCTGTATGTCTGCAACTTGCGAGGTGAGATTACTAAGCAGTTGATTTCTTCCCTAGTTGTGGGATGAAACCTGCATTATACTGAAAAGTTTACTAGTTCAAACATAGACCTTAGAAAACAGGTCTAAGGTCTATGGTTCAAATAAGATGTAACATAATTTTTTGGCGTAATCTAGTAAAAACAATAGAATCTCTTGAGAGAGTTCATTGAGGGTGCAATCTAACACATCGTAGTAAAAACAATAGAAATTTGGCATGAGTTCATTGATGGCGCACTGATAAATATGTCACTGTTGCTAATGCATGTATGTACATTGCACTGCACACATTCCTCAGAAAATATCTATGATTACTAGTTATCAACACCAAATTTATGCTAAGAATTTAAATGATATGCTTGCCAAACAGGTTTCTGTTATGCGGCCAAAGTTTAATGGGACACACGCCGAGTGATGTCTCCTTGTTAGATGATGAGATGGAGAATGGCGCCAACATCAGTGCATCATCTTCCAAAACTTACTCCGCTTCACCAGCAAAGCAAACACAGTCAACAGAGAAGAACAACAAGGAAACAGACGAGATCCCATCAGCTGTTAAGTTGTCCATACAGGTACATATATGTACATATTAAACATTTCTTCTTTCCTTCCTTTTATCTATTCATTATTTGTATTCATACATGTATGTGGTAGAATATTATGAATGAATAACTATACATAAAATATGCACATAATTAATGAGTTGTATGTGGTTCTGGTTTTTGAAAAGGTGTCATTGGTTCAGTAGCACATAAACTACATGAAAAGATGACTTGAATGGACTTTTGAGTTGTTTTTTTTCTTCCTGTATCTCATCAGATTTGATTCAAACCTGAAATTTTCATAGCATTACTGAGTAATTGATATACTGTGCATATGAAAAACTACCGATAATACCTCATTTTTAACCACAAAAGTAATATAATCTGGCATAAAAAAACAAAATTGGAAATTTTTGCCCTGGAAAGCACTTTCTTCTGTAAATCTCTTCATATTACTTTACAGACTATGTCAGTGACGGACTTCACTGCTACCCTATCATGCTTTATGAGACTGACCTGGGCTGCGGCTGCTGGGCGTATACACTTAGCAAGTTCTTCACAACATATCGGTCTGACAAAAGATGGATCACTCTACGGCTCCGCTTCTTTTCATATAGGCCAGGTGGAGAGACGGAGAAGTCGACACAGCAGTACAGGTGAGTCACTGGAGAGATGTATTTTTAGATGCTTCCCATATCATTTTGATCGTTACTTGATGTTAAGCGATACACAGACTGATAGTAGACTATGACCAAAACATTGAATTTACTTCACAAACTTATCTACTTTCAGGGGATTTGCAGATGTAGATTCATTCACATACAAAATGTACTAGTTGTTAAGATTATTTCCAACCTTACCTTGCCTTGCTGGGGTGTATGCTGTCATTGTCCTTGTCATTGTTAGCTCTGCTGTCAACTTTGTCGAGCGGAGCTTATCATATGAGTGGTTGTCCGTCGCCGTCCGTGTCAATGTTTTACTTGTTTGACTTCTTCTTGAAAACTATAAGCCTGAATGCTTTGATACTTGGTGTATATGTACCTTGGGTAGACCTCTCTCAGATTTGTTCATTTTGTTGTAGTGATATCTTTAATTCTCTAATTTTGGTGAATATTTTTGTCATTTTTGGTAAAAAGTGATATTTTCGACTGATTGGTTGACCTCTGTCTGTGTGGAAAACACCTTAATGTTCCATTAAAATGGTAGTTCTGTTTTAGTTAAGTCTGTGCTCAACTGTGAGTCAGTTATTTCATCTGTTTACTATGCAACGTTCATGTTTTATGGCATTCTACAAGTTTCTGTGATTACCAGAAGTTTACACTTTTGTTTGAAGTGTTTCGATCACCAATAAATGCAGTTTATGTTAACAAGTGATTCGTGAGTTTGCAAGTTTTTCTGTTGAGTTCCTAACTCAAGTTGGAATGTGGCCGACCGAACCCAACCATAATTTACTTGAATTAATTGTAATTATAACCCAAATATTTTTGATCAAATCTGTTTCAAACTTTAAATTACTGTTAATTAGTATGTACTTGTGACTGTATTTGTTTTGTTATGCCTTTTAATTTTTGGATATTTTTTTGTTCTTAATTTCCAGGTAGCACAGGGAGTGGATGCAGCGATCATAGTGACATCCACGCGTTATTCCCCGGTGTGTGTGCAATACAACATGTGGTGTCAACTAAAGACTCCAGGATAGCCAGAGAAGCTCTTGAATTATTGGTCAGATGTCTCCAGTTACGCACTGATCTCCTTGGTAGGTGTTAGCGGGTGTTCACTTTACTTGAAATGTTTGCAATTCAGTTACATACGTTACATCTTTGTCAATATTAAGGCTACAAATTGATGAGGTGTAAAGTTTATTATATCCAACTCTCAATGTTTTCACTGTTTTTGCATTCTTTTGACATTTCTACTGATATTCATTGTTTGAACAAACTCACAAATTGTTTCATTGTATTTAACCGAGTATATAACAATTGTTTATTAAAAAACTGTGAACAAATCAGATTAAAACATGAATTTTCCACAACTCAATAAGTAGTTTCTTACTGCCTCAACTGATAACTAGAATGAAAGTGCATCTGTGCCATGTTTGTTTCATGGTGATATTCCCTGTGTCAGTTTGTGTATTTGGAGCTATCTTTAAAACAGAACTTGTGCACATACATGCAGGTCAATGATGCTTTACTGGTAATTCTGGCCTAACGAGAATGCTTTCATGTTCTTCTCATCATCAACAAAGTTTGCACCAAATGCCCATATTTACCTGATATGGGCATTTGATCTGCTTCTTCTCTTGATCCTTTTTTTCTAAAGATAAATTTGGGTGCAGTATGTATCTTTTCACCAATAAATTTTCCCGCCCAAATTGTTCTGCACTTCCATTATATTCTTCAATAGTTCTGAAAATGAACCCTAATTATGGCACCAACAGGCAAAATTTAAGTAACTTTTCAGTTTTTACTCAAAATTGTTACTATTTTTGTCTGAAAGAAAGTGCAGACTATAAATTATTTTATAAATTTGTGTTGAAAAAACAGAACTGGTGGTGAAAAAGTTGAATATACATGCATCTATCTTTATTTCACTTTTGTCATTTCAAATTATATAGATTTACAGTGCTGTCGAAGGTGTACATTGGTTTCATTCAGTATCATTTTGATCCTTGTTTATTTCAGGTTCCTTTTATGCATTACCGTTCATTAATGACTTCATTATTGATATACTTCTTGGTTCGGCAAGTACCGAAGTAAGAAATGCCGCCCTTGAACAGTTTGATACGCTAGGTGCGCATACCATGGTACGAGATAAGCCAGAACTTCAAAATCCTCGCTATTTTCTGCTGCAAGTCCTACTCAAAGCACATGTGCCCTTGTGGACGACGTCAACCTCTGTCAGAGGAACTAGTCAAAGGTACAGTATATTTAAAGCTAGCATTTAGTGTCAGTATATTTATTTCTCACTTGTAGAAATGATTTGTTTTTGTTGGATGTCTTTGTTGTCTCATGTCTTTTTCTTTATATCGTATGTGAGTTTTGAGTTCTCTTGCTGCTTCGTTATTATATGTGTGAAAGGCAGCTGGTTGAACTTGATTCACTTCTGATCATCGATAGTGTATAGTGTTAGGCAAATATTTAACTATATATACTATTTATACCAATTCTGTGTATTGTAGGATTCCATGTTACCTTTGAATTAAGTTTAAACAAATTTTATGAAATACTGTGGAATACTTTATTTTCGCTGGAATAAATTTTCGCTGAAAAGGCTTTTTGGGCATTTTGCTTGGAATTTATTTTCACTGATTTTTGATGAGTTTAATGTGAAATATAGGAAAAAAAGTATATTCGCTGGATTTTATTTTCACGGAATCATCCCTTCAGCGAAAATAGCGAAAATAAATTCCAAGCGAAAATAAAGTATTCTACAGTACATGAAATGGCATCTATACGTACTTTGGTAAAATATTACTTGGGGAGAAATATGTTTATGGTATTCAAATTGTGAAAACTGAGGAAAACAGGCTTATTTACTTGTGGTGGATACACGATCAGTATCGTAGCAACCAGAAAACTTGAAACATGTGTTGTCAGTACTAACCAAACAAACATTACTATCTGTCAATTTAGTGTCGACCAGATCCTGTTGAATCTCATTGATCTAAATTCAATCCACAGTCGCATCTGTTTATCGCAGTGAATGATACTTGCTTCCAGGTTGTGGGTCGCACTGATAGCGTACTTTGATTGAAAGATACTTTCCATAATGTAATGATCTTTTATTTGCAGGTTGCTCGGTCAGTGTAGTCAGTATTTTGAGTTGAGATGTCGATTACTGGAAGGGCTTTCAAGTAAGTGTTAGTTTGGTTTCATTTTTCAACATTGATTGGTTAAAAAAGTATATTAACATGGCTTTACAATCTATTATGCATTATCAATTTCTTTAATGATGACATATTAACTAAATATTTTCTCACTTCAGAATCTGAACAGACATCTTTGCAAATTAACGCTATCAGTATGTTGGAAGATGAAATTGCATGGTTTGATAACTTTGAATCATCTGACCAAGCCGATCTTCTGGACATTGATGAGATACTACTCACCGGTCATCTGCGGCTCATGACGATATTATTCACCTGTGAAGGCGTGGACAAAAGGAAATATGGTAAGTTTATATTGAACAGTTAATAATGTAAAATCTGTATTAAAAGCCGCGGTTTCTATTAAAATGGTACAATGCAACAGTGGGGAGATGCGGCTTCTATTAGAGCATCTACACATATGAGGAATGGTAAATTTTGGGTCTAAATTGTTCAAAAAGAATGGGTCCGGCTTCTAATACAGATTTTACGGTAGTATTTAATAATGATAATGTGCTCAAATTATGTATGTCCTAATGCTGAAGGTTGCATTACCCTGGGTAATGTGCATATCTAATATGAACATTTTGATGAGATTTGATGTACAGTTGTAAGTTACTGTGACTTTAAGGTGGCACACATAGCTTCATGAAAGTTTCAATGGTTTGCCCTATGCTGATGCGTTGAATGTATTCTAACGTGAAAACTTGCATGTGAACATTTTGAACCTACAATTCACTGTTGGGTGTTATTTGCATGGAACACCCTTGTCTCTCACAAAGCAGTTTATGATAATTTCTTTGTCTATTTGTCTTTACTTTCAGGTAAATCCCTGGTCAGCAAGCTATTGAATGAGTTTTTATTCCCAGCCTCCAAACTGATTCTAGCTGGATCCGGAAATGACAGGCCGATACCTGATGCTGCAGAGTTTGTTCCAAAGTAAGTAGATAAGAATGTAGAGGTCGCGGGTCATTTCCTCATACATGTAAACAGTCCTTAGGTTCCTCACAGCATGCTTTAGAGGATCAGAGTGATTCAAACCTAGAATCTGCTCTTAAAATAGAGGCCTTGGAATTCATTCTCGTGTTGGTAACAGGCAGTTTAATGTGTAGAGATGGCTTTTTTTCTGCCTGTCATTTTATGAGATATACAGGGACATTGAAATTCATCGACTGATTGTCTATAGCATTTCCGAGGTACTGACGCTGTTTACTCATATTCGGACATAGTTAAAAAAACATGGACTCTTTAGATTATTCTGCCCACTATGTTTTTTTTCTCAGATTAGCCATTACTTATGAAGCAAATTAAAAATAAAATTAATATGAGTAATATTATTTTGTTATGTGCAGATGTTCTCATGTGGAGTCTAGAATTGCAGCATTTGAAATGTTAGTAGTTTTAGCTGATGGGTGTCTGGATAATTTACAAGAGATATCAAGACAATTACTATCAATGCATCACAAGGCAGACCCATCAACTGCTAAGGAATGGGAGGTAAGTAACTGAAATATTCTACATATGATGTGCTCTTCTTAAGTTTTATTTGCAAGAGGTGTTGCGAAAGTTTGCTCCTAATAGTTGGGTCATGTCACATCACATTACATCATGACAGTAGACGATTTTCTGTTCACTATGAGATCTTGCATATTGTGTTAAAGCTGGCCGAGCCTTCCCGCAAAAAATCTTATGTTTTGATTTTGAATTCTTTTTTTATAGCTCAATATTGAAATGCTGATTTTTCAGAGAGGAATATGCTATTGAGTTGACCATCATCAAATGTGTATAGCACATTATTAAGTGTGGAAATACTTTTGTGTTTGTCAAATCTTGCGCAATGTTTTTACGCTACTACAATGCTATGAGCTTTGTTTGTTCTGCTTTTGATTTCATGCACAACTCTCACAGTATATGGAAAATGATCTATTTCGAAAAATTATTCTCATTTTGCCGCTTGACCGTTATTCCTGCTTTGAGTAAATAAAATATAACAAAATATACACTTTCCCAATAAGAAATTTTTAGTTCGTTTAGCACATGTTTATTATTCAAATGAGTCTAGTAGTTCTGTTAAACGAACTTGCAGTGAACAAAAACTGCTCACCTAGTTTGCAACAGATTTTTCTTCAAAAAGATGCATACAAAGCAAAAATAAATAAATGTTAATTCCCTCAAATAAAATCGTGCTGATGATAATAATATATAAGGAATCTTGAATGTCAATGAGACTTCACAGATACAGTAATACGAATTACAATTCATTGCCAAACAAATAAATGATTGGTTGAATCGTCTTGGTCATCTCAATACGCCTGTGACGTGAGTCCCATGCAACATGTACAACTAAGCTGTACGATGACTGTTGCACTTTAATCACTTGCTAGAAAGCAAAACTCAGTTCAACGTCTGTATTCTCATTTTCAGTATTTACCGCCTGTGGCCGGCCGACCGACGGAAGGTTTTGTAGGTCTGCGTAACGCAGGTGCAACCTGCTACATGAACTCTGTGATTCAACAACTATACATGACCCCCGAGTTAGCAGAGGTTAGTGACAAGAAATAGCTTCTTTCTTTCAGTTGACTCATCTTGATGCAGTGTGTGGCTGTTGTGGGTGTGATTTCAATGATATACTTGACAATCCCAAGCTTTCAGATATTTGAGTCCCTTCAGTTTTTCCACCGGTATTTTCTCTACCATTTTTTTGTTAATTGTGTTCCAAATGAACATATGTGTACTCCTGTATCTCGATAAACATTTTTGAAAAACTGAAAAAAATTATTTCCGAGAATAAATTTTTACTATAATGATGTTCAAAGACTATGCACCATCAAAATATCTCCCATTTAGTTGACTTCAATTAATAGAGTAATACAACTGATGTAAACCACACAGTGTTGCTCAGTGCATGAAACTGATCAAATGCGTGCAATGTGCACAGACAACGACAATGTTCAATCCTCAAGTGTGTTATTTTGCTGTAAATTTTGAATAAATTTTTTTGAATCCCAAGGGAATACACATTTGCAATTGATGAAAAATTAATCACATTACATAGTAGTGACATACATGTAGTTTGGAAAACACACTATTTACTCAAAAATAAGTTAAAGCGTTAAAGACTTAAAGCTGGAGGGTGAGGAATTTAGTCACTCATGGGTAGACACTTGTTTGTAGACGCATGCACAGGTGACGACTCCCCCGCTTTAAGTCATATGTACACTTCTAATTTGTTGATTCATGTCACAGAAAGTACTAAGCATAGAAGTTAACGAGCAAGAAGAAGAGAATATATTCTATGAGATGCAGAGGGTGTTTGGTCATCTGATGGAAAGTAAACTGCAATACCATGTTCCGGAGAAGTTCTGGAATTGTTTCAAACTTTGGGGTCAACCAGTGAATGTGAGGGAGCAACAAGATGCGTTTGAGTTCTTCACCGATCTTACGGATCAATTAGACGAGTATTTAAAAGTAAGTGCTATTTTATCTCTTGTTTCTCTTATAATAGTATTTACTTGAAAATAACAATATATGCAGCTATCTTGATTCCAAAAATTAGTCGTAAATGTTGGATTTAGTGTTAATGTGTAATTAAAGAAATGTGGTTTTATGGGATATTTTAATTCTTGTTCTCCAAAGTACCGGTACTCAAATAACAACCACTTGCTGAAAATACACTCTTTGATCAGAATTTGATTATAAAAAAATATATCATACAAGTCCCAGGGATTTTTTTCAAATTTGTCACACACCTCGTCCTTGCTAACCCATATCAATGGATAATCCTGCTTTTTCATTTTTGTCTGTGTAAATGTCTACAAAATACTGTAAACTTCCAATTTTCACTGATAATTTGATGGTATTCTTGAAGACAACATTTTAAGGTTGGAGGTAGCAAACTTACATTTTAAAAGCACTCTGCATTCTTTATTTTTCAAATTATTCATTCAATTAAAAAAATAGGGCACTCAAATTTGCATCCATAGATATAGATATGGTCATTTTGAACTTAATTTAATAACTAGTTTGATTACCCTATATTATTATTTTTTTCAGTCTTTTTCATATTAGCCTTACATATTATGTGAAATTCCTGTGTCAAAATTGTGTTCCCAAGTCCATCTTTAAGAATCACTCAAGATACTGAAGGACGCTCTGAAAAACTGAGTGAAAATGAAATAAGTAACTCCTTTACAGTTTGTGTCATTGTTTTTCCTCCTCAGAAGATGAAACATAAAGAGATTTTCAAACCAAAGTTTCAGGGAATCTTTTCAGATCAGAAGATATGTAAAGACTGCCCTCACAGGTAGGATATAACTTATTTTGTTTAGATACTGTGGAATACTTTATTTTCGCTGGAATAATTTTCGCTGAAAAGGCTTTTTGGCGTTCTTGCTTGGAATTTATTTTCACTGATTTTTGATGAGTTTAATGTGAAATATAGGAAAAAAAGTATATTCGCTGGATTTTATTTTCACGGAATCATCCCTTCAGCGAAAATAGCGAAAATAAATTCCAAGCGAAAATAAAGTATTCTACAGTATTCTTTTGTGACAGAATGTCTATCAATCAAATTTTATAATCTGATCCAAAACTCCAGCAAAGACTTACTTCAGGAAACTTTCAGTCATTGAAAACCTTAAAAGCAAATGGTTTCTTTTAATTACATTCTTCCTAAGTAGAATTTAACAAAATACTGTTATTAACGTGCATGAAATTTAACATCAACAAACTATTGGAAAATAGAAATTAACAACGATAGATTTGGCAATTATAACGAGAGCAAGCTCAGAACATGCAGAACAACTGAATCTAATGTTGAACTTGAACCGTATCTGCACAAAAGAACAATTCAGTGCCCTTCTTAATAATAAAAAAATTAATTACTCAATGACATATAGCACAGTATGCAAGTTAAAGCGGGGGGCGTCGTCACCTGCACATGCGTCAGATGGCCATAGCGTGTCATTGTTTACAAACAAGCATCTACACATGAGCCTTTGTGTTTTTGCATGTGTTGTTATCGGCGCTTGGGACTCAGTTCCCGTATGTGCGCAGGTGACGACCCTCCCATTGATTTTTTGTCCCTTCACTCCCTCTGGGATTGAGTTAGGTGTTAATAAAGACTGATTAAAAATATTTTACAAAATCCCCTTCTCATCTTGCTTGAATTTTTTTAAATTTACTAAAAAAAGTATTTGCTGATGGTAGAATTATTATTTTCATGACCATAACAGGTATGAACGAGAGGAACCTTTTTTTGCACTAAACTTAACCGTCAAGAGTCATAACCTAGAGAGTTCACTCGAACAGTTTGTACGAGGAGAGATGTTAGAAGGAGATAATGCTTATTATTGTGAAAAATGTGGTGAAAAGGTAAGTACATTGTAACAGACTTTAATACAAGAAAGATATTTTTGTACTGCTGTTCATGTATGTCAGATTACAATTTGTGCATTACATTCTATGGAAGGTTTTTACCAGAATATTAAAAAAAAAAATAAAAAAAAAAATCAGTTTTCATGCAAAATCAAAATACAAACATATGTTTCATGACAATTTGAAAATACAATAAATGCTGCATTGATTTTTTTTTCTTGGCCATGTAGTAAAAGGTAATCTGATTTATAAACTTACTTGATGTAACTGCAGTGATGACCTATCACGACAAAGTATGACATGTTAAAAAATTCCCAAAGCTAAAAATGTTTTAGGGTTTCTAGCAATAAATAGTTTTTACTTTGTTTTAATCCACTGCTGAGTATATTGCAAACCAGTTAATTTTTGCTGTTTGAAAATTTTGAGGTTTGATGACATTTGTGAAGATAAAATGTAATGACATGCCATGTTGTATGACACCAGAGAGATTTTCGCTTCTACAAAAATACGAAATTTCACTGATTCATAGAAAAAAATCCTGAAAATTTGTTTAAATTCAAAAGCTTTTCACAATATTCAGTTGACCAGGCTGTTATTTTTAAACTAATTGCCAGATATCATTGCTGCGAAAACTCTGAATAGTACATCAGTAGA